GAAGATGTAAATAAATCCAAAGAGGCTGCAATTATCAAAAACAGCTGGATTGGAATTCGAACTGAAGATATTATTATCTGTGTAACGTCGTGAAGTGTGTTTCCAGTGTTAGTGTATTATTTTTGATCAAAGGTATATTCTGGTTACTCCATCTTGGATCCGTCTGGTCCTGGCTCTTGGCTCATTTGGTTGTTCTGATAACTACTCTACTTCAACAACAACTCGAGACAGAAATACAATTTAACTTTGATATGTATTCAAATCCCAACTTCATATCTTCAAACACTGTACACAATGGCATCTTTAATTAATATATAATAGAAATTGAGAATAACGACGGAGTGCCGTTATAAAATAAAAGTGATGAGTAAGTATCCTTAATGGATACTTAAAAAATAGTAAGGGCTAAGTATCCTTAATATATTGTAACAACTTCGGACGTGGATGTACCGAAGTAGGTTTTAATATTGGAAAATGTTTTATCTAAGACATTTCATAAATAATGAACATTAATGTATGTCTAAGTAAAATATACTAGTCCAAAATAGCTAAGAATCAAACCCGTGGTTAGGCGGACTTAGAATATATTTTGGTGTTATTCTTGGTGTATCATAACATAAGGTCATTAAGGAGACTTGTATCTATATGTATTGTATTGGCGACGGGAGACGGTAGGCCTACTTAGTCACTACGGGAGTAGTTACCTCCATGGTCCTGGTGTTTAGCTGGACTCTGGTAATAAGCTTGGTTGCTTGGACTGTGTAGGAGGGTAGGAAAGTCTGGCCGCTTGGTTAGGAGATCATGGCGAACTCCGTTGAATCTGCCGCGGGATCCAACTTTTATACCCTTCTCCAAAACTTCTGACCAATCAGAATTTAATATATTCGGGTCTCTCGGCACGGAACACTATAACTTAATAACTCACTAAAGCCCGAGAGCTCCGAACACACATCTGCAATGGCGGATGAGTCGTCTGTTTGACAGGCTTCGCATAGCATAAACATGGATTACAACCAAAATACAACAAATCATGAGTGACAACATAACAACCTATAAAGAGAACAGAAACATGCGAGTCCATGTGAGAGCATGATTCTAAATATAGCGCACGACTGACGTAAACACATCACCGACTCGATGATTCTGAACTTGTAAACACGAACTGTTTCAATTGAGACAATATTAAATGGTATCATAATTAGATAACTTGTAACTAAAATACATTTACTATACAGGTTGATTATGATGATAAATGTAGTAGACAAATAACGAAGTTATTTATCATTACACAGACCATAGCAGGTAGGCAAAAGTACAGTCGTTACATCTACAATAAAGATTTAACATGTGATCATTAAGTGGACTGCATGATTGCCAGACATCGTATACATGCTGTGCAGTTTTGGCCCAATATGGATTCAAAAGTGTCCAGCAAAGCCATTTTATCACATATATTTTTAGCTCACCTGGTCCGAAGGACTAAGGTGAGCTTATGCCATACCTTGGCGTCCGTCCGTATGTCAACAATTTCTTCAAACGACTTCTTCTTCCTAACCACTGATTGGAATTCAACTAAATTTGATTGGAAGCATCCCTAGGAGGTGGGGATTCAAAATTGTACAAATGATGGGGCTGACGGGCGGGGCCAAAAGGGGTCAATTTGGCTATATTGCTTTAAGCGACTTATTCTCTGGAACTAAAAAGTGGATATCAACCATATTTGACTGGAAGCATCCTTAGGTGGTGGGGATTCAAAATTGTGCAAGTGATGGGGCTGCCCCCCAGGGGGCTGAGGGGCGGGGCAAAAAGGGGCCAATTTGGCTATATTGCTTTAAGCGACTTTTTCTCTGGAACTAAGAGCTGGATATCAACCATATTTGACTGGAAGCATCCCTAGGTGGTGGAAATTCAAAATTGTACAAATAATTGGGCTGACCCCAATGGGGGCTGAGTAGCGGGGCCAAAAGGGGCCAGTTTGGCTATATTGCTTTAAGCGACTTCTTCTCTGGAACTAAGAAGTGGATATCAACCATATTTGACTGGAAGTATCCCTAGGTGATGGTGATTCAAAATTGTACAAATGGTGGGGCTGACACCAGGGGGCTGAGGGGCGGGCCAAAAGGGGGAAATTTTTCTATATTGCTACAAACGACTTCTGTAGAACTGTGCACTGGATATCAATTTTATTTAATCAAAAGCATTCTTGGGAGGCAGGGATTCAAAATTGTACAAGTGGTGGGGCTGAGGGGCGGGGGCTAAAATGGGCATTTGGCTACATAGCTTTAAGCAACTTCTTCTCTGGAACTAAGAAATGGATATCACCCATATTTGACTGGAAGCATCCCTAGGTGGTGGTGAATCAAAATTGTACAAATGGTGGAGCTGACACCCCAGGGGGCTTAGGGGCGAGGCCAAAAGGGGTCAATTAGGCTATATTGCTTTAAGCGTCTTCTTTGGAACTAAGAGATGGATATCAGCCATATTTGACTGGAAGCATCCCTAGGTGGTGGGGATTCAAAATTGTACAAATGTTGGGGCTGAGGGCGGGGCCAAAAGGGAGCAATTTGGCTATATTGCTATAAACGACTTCTGTAGAACTATGCCATGGATATTGATCATATTTGGTCGAAAGCAATCATGGGAGGCAGGGATTCAAAATTCTACAAATGGCGGGGCTGACCCCCCGGACTAACAGGTGGGGCCAACAAAAGTGTATTACTTGGAAATGATTAAGATCCCCACCATATAACCATGGTATACAATTGCTGAGTATAAAGAGAAGAATGCACATTTGCTTCCAGGATGTCCCTAGGGTCTTGCCCCACCCTTTGAGACATAGTCCCTGGGCCATAACTTTAAAACTGGTGAGATCCCCACCCCAAAACATATATACAAATGCTGGGCATAAAGAGACGAATGCAGTCATGATATCAGAATAGACCCCGGGGTCTGACCGAACCCCTAGGAACCTAGTTTCTTAGTCACAGCTTGGAAACAGTTGAGAGCCCCACCCTATAACCGTATATACAATTGCTGGGTATTAAAAGATGATTGTACATATGCTTCAAGGATGGCCTTGGGGACTGCCCCACCCTTGGAGACTTAACCCCTGGGTCATAACTTTGAAATGGTTAAGATCCCCACCCAAAAACTATGTACACAATTGTTGGGCATAAAAAGACGAATGCAGTCATGATATTAGAATTGATCCCAGGGTCTGCCCCACCCTTGCAGACTTAACCCCTGGGTCATAACTTTGAAACGGTTGAGATCCCCACCCTAAAACTATATTTACAAATGCTTGGCAAAAAGAGACAAATGCAGTCACAATATTAGAATTGATCCTGGGGTCTGGCCACAACCCTAGGGACCTAGTTTCTGAGTCAAAGCTTGGAAACAGTTGTGATCATCACCCCATAACCATACATAAATTGCTGGGCATGCAAAATCTAATACGGATATGCTACAAGGATTGGCCTTGGGGTCTAGCATATTCCCTTGATCTCATTTGGGGAAATTTGCCATGATTGCGTCGGTATCCAGTGAGCGATACAGGCCCTGTGGGCCTCTTGTTTTTAGATACACTGGGAATGCATGATATCTCATCAACAATTCAAAATGTTCCTTGATGGAGAACTCCCCTCTAGTTGAGGCCGTAGCTCCCGCACATATCCTCCCCACCTAGTCACTTTCTTAATTGGTTGGTGCATTGTGCAACAGTTCATGGGGCCCCCTTTATTGGTATCGAGCCTCGTATTGGTATGTCCTGGATTCAGAACTTAACCATTAACATAATCATACGAAGAGGTGTATACTGACATATGACCTATGGAAAAATCCTAGCTTACCTAAAGGCATTTGTGACACACGTGCACTGCTGATGGTCTGTAGGAAATAAATGTTTCACCCTCCACCAATAGGCACTAAGAAGATATTGAAACAGTCATATAATTATTCATTCGGAAGTCAACTTATTTTTTATGGCAAAATCAGAACCCAAAAATTCTTTAAGCAGTACTTGCTGTTCCTCGGAGGGAAAATACATTTCAGACTATTGCCAACACAGACACTAGATAAGAGTAAATATTCGTTCACATTATTATCAGGAAATTTAAATGGTGTTTATCCTGCATCTCAATTGACTGTTTTGCGTTCGTTTTTCCTAAAATGTTATATACACGTATATAACTGGAAAAAATTGCAACATCAAGAAAGCATGTGTCTGGAGTATTTTGAGTACTTTGATTATACCTGTTATAAGAAATCATATAGGGTACGATTTCGTAGCATTCGATATTGTAAAACAGGAGAATGATACGTTGCATTAATGAACTAATTTATTTTCAGACTAAACTGAACCAGTTGTTTCCATTCCCCTTATTGGTGAACATTAAGTAGGGAATACTAACTAGCATTTTTAACAACTTTGATACAGTGTATGTCCCTTCATGGGGAGATAACCATCTGCCTTCTTCATCTTGGTGAACATTCAACATTAAAGCCAAAAGTTAGGTATCGCTAATCAAGGCACTAGGAAACAAATGCTATTTAGCGATTGAGACAAACGAAGATCGCAAGTGTTGTAATGAATGCATGAGATTAATTTCGGTCGCGTTTGTGTCCCCAAGTAGAGGGCACAAACACATCCCAAATTCTGCAGGGGATACCCACATTTGTGACTACTTACGACCATGCAGTGGATAATATGAGAAAATGATATACTTGCTTTTACACAGAGCACATTGTGAGAGGTAACACGTGAGGGAACCCCCTACAGAATAGGAATTCGAATTGAACACATATTCAGTATTCTAAAAATTAACAACGAATCTATTGAACATAATGTAAGTTATATACATGATTTATAATACTGTAAAGCATGTCGTTCATTCTGAATTGACTTCCATTACTTCCCTGAAAACGTGTTGGTTACTCATTTTCTATCGCATGAGCTAATATTCTCTTGTTTGGTTTGATTTTATTAGCTCATCTGCTACGATATGCCAGCTGAGCTTATGGTATGGTGAGTTGTCCGTCAACTTTTTTTGAACGACCTCTTAAGAACTGGAGGACAGAGGGCCATGATATACATTTTTATGAAATAAATGACCTTGGCCAGTAGGTACCTGGCATGAAGTGCTATAACTTTTCCTCAAATAAATGATATTGGTCAACTTTCAAGGTCAACTTTCAAGGTCACAAGGGTCAAATGTGTTTAAAACCTTTGCACATCTTCTGAATAACCAGGAGGCCAAGAGTAATGATATTCGGCCAGTAGGTACCTGGGACAGAGTGCTATAAAGTTTCCTTAAATAAATGACATTGACCTACTTTCGAGGTCACAGGGCTTGAAATTGTAAAAACTTCTCTCCTGAATAACCAAGAGGCATAGAGCAATGAAATTTGGTTAGTACGTCCCTTGGACATATTGCTGTAACTTTTTTTCAAATAAATGACCTTGACCTATTTTCTTGGTCACAGGAGTCAAATATGCCTATAAACAACTTCTCTTTAATAAATAGGAGGTCCATATATAGACTTCTTGGTCATTAGGTACCTGGCATGAAGTGCTATACATTTTTATCAGATAAATGACCTTGACCTACTTTTGAGGTCACAAGGGTAAAACATGCTAAAAACCTTTAATAATCTTCTATTGAATAATCAAGAGGCATAGAGCAATGATATTTGAATTGTAGGTATCTGGTAAGTGGTATTAACTATCCCAAATAAATTACCATGACCTACTTTTACGGTCACAAGATTAAGATATACCTTGAGGCCCTGGGTGATGATATATGACCAGTATCGTGCTGGGATAGAATGATATAAAGTTGCATTTTGTCTGGAACATGTTTAAGCCAAGGAGACTCAATATATGGAAATATTTGCAAAAATACTTTTATTGAGAATATGTTTTGCCATGATTGCTCAAAATATCCAGGTGATCGATACAGGCCCTCTGGACCTCTTGTTTTGTTAAACGTCCTATCAACAGCCAAGGTCATTATTTTCTTGTTAAGAAGGCCTTTGCGACAATTCAAAACAAATAAAGTACCCAAAAGACAATGTAGTTAACTATAATACTGTATTATTTAGTATTGCATCAACAACAACGCGTATATGGTTAATTAGTTCTGGCAATTCCATTACTTTAGGGAAAAGTACAGAAACAATCTAACGACGCTGTCCTCTTGGGACACGAATTAAAAGATAATTTTCTTTACTGTATGACAAGGGAATATATCATCATATAACAGAAAACATCAGGATGAAGTGTAAGGATGCATGACTTTGTCGATTGAAAAATAAAAGGACCATAAAAACCTAATTAATTCGGGGGAATTACTACTGGGATTATACATTGTCTGATATGATATTTGAGCAGATGTCTGATGCAATATTTTAACAGAGGTCGTCAAGGTGTGCATTTGAACAGACCTGCGTGTAGTGGACAGAGGTATCGATACAATGTCTTTCCAGGCTATAATGTACTTACTTCTCTTTCATTTTGCTCTTATTGGTGTTCAAGGCTCGTCTTATTATGCCATTTTAAACGGTACCAATGATGACACATCCTTGTTAAATCACAACACAAATGTAGGTAAGCTTCCGGATTGTGCGAAACGCTGCGAAGAGGAGCAATGTGCGTCATTTACATTCAACCAGGTACAGAAATCGTGCAAGACACAGACTGTCATTGGACTTAACTACCGATGGGTATACCTACTTTCAAAAAAGAAATGAAGGTGAATTTGCTGATATTGGTTTTCGTTTGACTGATCATGTTAATTAACGTTCTATACAGTATACGCTTTTGTACAAAGTCATGCCCACATTACGTTTGGCATTTTGAAAGTTTATAGCGATGACAAGAACGACTTTGTAAGTACATTTTCAATTCTGTAGTTAATTGACTGCAGTACCTTAAAAAATATCATTATTTTGTGCTATACTTATTGTTATAATATTTATAAACAAAACAGAGGGTAAAATGTTTTATAACAAGCACAACCCTGTTGAATCGGCGAAGGCGTAACATGCGCATGATTATTTTATTCTATTCACCTGAGCAAAGAACTATACAATTTTCTTTTTTATCGCAGGCGAAAATAGATTTGTCCGACTGGCTGAGACCTATGTCTTTAACAACAAAACCTGGACGGTAAGTAGCTACTGAATTTTTCGCCCTTCACACATTTAATTACTATGTTTATTATGCTATTTACTAATATGCGCTGAAATGATATATTCGCCATGCTTACGGACGACGAACTTATTGCAGCCTCCCAAAACACACACGCATACGCTACACGCATGCATCTTGCAGCACACAGGGGAGCTAGGCCGTCCTTAAACGACCATAGCTGTTGATAGGACGTTAAACAATACTAAACCAAACCAAAATTACGGAGGACGAAGAAGGCAAAAATTAAACAGCAGGAAACATTTCCCGTTATACCGTTTCTACTTAAACTTAAACGAATAGAGATACAGACATCTTAATAAATATATGGATGATGTATGATGGCTGTCCGTTAAATACCACGTACCGTATAGTGGGTTATTAACACCGACTTTAATGTTCATGATTTCCACCTAAAACGTAAAATGAAAATTCCACAGATTATAAATTCGCGACCTAGGCCTGTAAAGGAACGACATTTTCGAGGTGTTTGAGCATAGAAACGGGACACTCGGCACACTTTAATGAACATAGAAACGAGACACTTGGCACACTTTAATGAGCATAGAAACTGGACACTCGGCACACTTTAATGAGCATAGAAACGGGACAATCGGCACATAAAGTGTCAAATGAAAAGGCTTTATGATAGCATTTTGAGTTACAACAAGTAGGTGTATTTCATGAAAGAAATCATCAAAAAATCTATTAGATGTGTGATGTAACCTATTTTAAAACACCATGACAATATGATGTATATGATTCGTCACAACAACGTACGTGCTATTTCATGACGACATCACGGTTATGAAGTTTATTATCTGTGGATCATATTTTCGCGATCACGTTATTAATCTGCGAAATCGCGAAAATATCATCTTTGCGGAAATATATGGCTATATACTGCTATACGGTTTATCTTCCTAATGAAATTATTCAAATGATGTAGTTACAAATGTAAATACCTTATTGTCTGTAACAAAGATTTACCAAAACAACAACGCCGCTTCATCTGTACCCGAAACTGAAAATCAACGGTTTTTATTGGTCGGTATTCTAATTGATAAATTGCTAAGCCCTTCTTTCCCAAAAACATCATGGACCTAGGCCTCTTGTTTATTTAGGAGGTGTTATTTAAATATTGAGACATGAATCAAAGTCAATTATTGTTTTGTAAACTTGATAGCAACAACTTCAAGCATGTTACGGATTAAATATCAAGACACAAGACCTGGAAAAACTGCATATGTTTTGAGAATTGAAAGTTGAACTTTGAAACAATAGTGTTTCATGAGAATGTTTTTTATAGTATTTGTGTTCATAACAATGAAAGTTGAAATTGATTGCAAGAGTTAATTAGTTATTGAAATTGTGGAAAAGGGAATCAACGCCAGGACGGCCGTCTTAGATTCAGATGAAGTGAAACAACTCTGAAAGTCAATGAACACGTCTGCTACCAACCAAAATATTAGGAAGCCACTTGGTCATATTGTGAAAATCCTTAATTAGTATTTCTATGTTAACAGGTTGTACAAAAGAGATATGACGGATCTCAATCATTCAACAGGGACTGGAATGAATACAAGAACGGATTTGGTGATCCTTATGGAGAATATTGGATAGGTATGATCAAAGTATATCAGTAAAATGTTAAACATGTAAAAGATACGTTTTCTACATATGCAGAAAAAAGCATTAGGCCGATAAACAAGTATTCATTTTTAGCTTGCCTGGTCCCAAGGACCAACGTGAGCTTATATAATCATGTAATGCCGTGGCGTCCGTCGGTCTATAGTTTATTCAAACGTCTTCCCATTGTAAAAGTAAATACAGGATATCTAACAGTGTCTTCTGCAGTAATAACAAATAACAATCATAATAAGGAAATAATTCAGATCCCCATCCTGTTTCGAAAAAAAAGATTTGTTACAATATTACTTTCAATGAGAAAACAATGCAATTATTTCCTGACTATCCAGGTAAGCGATACAGACCCTTTAAGTCTCTTTCATGTACATACTATGTAAAAATGCGTGTGTAATATATGACAACTATCGTTGAAAGTAACAACTTATTTATTGCTACGGAATATTTTCTTACAAAAGTGTTTTCAATGTACGAAACATTTCCTCATGTCGGATTCATATTCACTACCGGTAATCAGTCTTTTTTCTTTACTTTTCGAGATAGGTCTTGAAGCTATGCATCAGCTTATTGCTAGAAGCCCTCACGCACTGTTGATTATTTTGGAGTCGTGGGCAGGGGTTATGAAACACGCCCTGTACGACCAGTTCTACTTGGCCTCGAAAACGGACCATTATCGCCTCAATGTTAGTGGATACAGTGGAACCGCCGGTATGCAAACTGTTATTTTTTTATTTAACTTTTTATATATATTATAAATATATTATATTTGCTGCTTAGACATTCAGTATTTAAAATTCAAGATATTCAATGTTGTAGGTCATGGTCTTATACCAGGTTTGTTTCGGACAATGGAACCAAAATGTCAAGGTGAACAATACGCCAAAGTATAGCTACTGCACTTTGTAGGAGTTTCGTTAGTGACTTTATCATATCCGATATGCTAAATTGTAAGATTGAATTAAAAACGAAGTGTGTTTGTTTACTATCAATGAAAGTGAGGTTTATTGGTCTATGGTCTTCAATGATTCTTAGTTTTTACTTAGATTTCATAGTTTTATATTCAAATGTATATTGAATTTGGAACATACACTCAGGGAATAAATAACGCAAAAACAAACCAAAGAAGACGAACGTTAAGGTCTTTGGAAATAAATAGGAATTATGTATAGTGTTTTGTCACTTCATTTCTGAAAACGGTATAATGATTCTTCCCTATGATCATATAGCTACTTACTATGAAGGGGGGGGGGGGGGGGGGGGGGGTGTTAAATGACAGCTAATGGTCATCATGATACATTACGCTTTTTTTTGCCTTAATTATTGCATTGACAGGAAATTGCCTTGAGGAAATGGGTCATAATTATATGGCGTTTTCAACAAAGGATAAGGACAATGATCTTGCCGCCGGTTCTTGTGCTAACTCATTTAAATCTGGATATTGGTATAGCCAGTGTAGCTCTTGTAACATAAATGGTCCTATGAAGCCGGACACAGGAAGACAAGATCGATATGCTGTTATCTGGTTCACCTTTAGTAACAAGTTCATGCCACTGAGAAAAATAAAAATGTTGATAAGTAGAATGCCATAGATTTATGTTATTAGCAATGCTTATGTGGAATTTTATTCATTTTGAAAATATTTATATATACAGTGTATATATAATCATTCGTGTTCTACACACACCTGTCTGCCCTAAATCTGGAAGAAGGATTGACAATACAAGTGGGATATTAGCATCAGCACAGGAAAGATGATTTATGACATTTACTTTTCATAAAATGTGGTATTGTACTGGATATATTTTAACTATAATATTGTGTATATGTCAAGGAATATGACAGTATGGAACCTGGGAGACTGGTATTTTGTTGTCTTGTTTATATCAACTATTTAATGAATAAAATTATGCCACCTGAATACCGTACGATATGATACTATTAAAGTAATGATTGGCAGACAGCTTCAAGTAGCACAAGAGATCAGCTGCGGCAGTTGATAATTCAAAAGTCGCATAATTCGATAAAAAATTAAAATATTTTTGTTTCCTTGAACTAAAAATCAATATTACGGCATTCTGATTAGAATCATATCCTATATTCTCTACGTATCACTAACGTGATTCATAGATAATGTAGGATATGCTTTTAATCAGATTGCTGAAACGGCTAATTATCGCAGAAATTGTAGGTTTTTTGTATACGCTTACATTTTTTGAGCATCGTAGCCGATTATGCAGGATACATTGTTACAAAATTCGAAGGTCATCGGGTCAAACGTCACAGTAGCGGTGTTTGTCTTTTACATCGGTCTGTTGGTACGACATCTGAGGTTAGACTTTTTCATAACCTTTTATCTTTTCAATTATTGTTTCACTTGTTAATTTAGCCCCTAAAATGGCAACACGCAGCCCAAATGCGGGGAGTATTAGTTAGCCCATAGGCGACAGTTCTAGTTGTCTTTCTACTAAGCCAGCGGATCTGTCAGAGTAACGAGAGCGGCTAAATACTGGGTCAGCTCTTTGGCCGGAATTTTGGGTGTACTTGTGAGCTTATTAATATATATTTACATTTCCATGGCATTGTCACTTTATAGGCTATTTGAAAGCTCTGTCGTTGATGGGACTTTAAATACCATTCAATACGAGACATAATGCTTAGCGTATTAATACAACACCGACCGGAACTACAATATCCAATGTAAACAAACATGACGGCTACTGAAATATCACTGGGCATTGTGAGACTTGACAATGTAATTGCAAATGTGTAAAATAGAAAATATTTAAAAAAAATACTTTTATTACAACAAAAACAAGACTAAGGTCTGCAATATCGTACAAAATGCACATTGGTTGAAATATTTACACTCATGCAATTTATCAGAAATATCGTCTGTTACACTGCACTGATCCACAGGGGTTTGTTAATGTCTGAAATACACATATGCTATAGACCTACTGATGAGTCACAGCACACATAAACATAACAAGGCATATGTGTATTTCAGAACTTTGTAACGAACCCCTGTGCTCTGTCGCAAGACCACTCACTTCAAACGCTATCAGTATCATGCGTCAATCAGCCACGATTTCCTCAGTTTCTGACGGCATGTCAAATAACGTAGCTGTTGTACAATTTACCGACTGCAATCAGGTTCCCATACAATCAACAAATAAAATAACGCCTGGATTCTTCACAAATTCGAACTTTTCTCTCTGCTCATTCAACTTCCAAAAATAACTCCCTCGTGGAGGGCAAGGTCGGATTACGGTGTTCACTGTTTTTATCCATGAGCAAAATTTGTTCCTGGAAAAAATCGAAACAACTTCAAATCTAACTTTCAGCTCAGATAAACTTAAATACCATATAGACATATCTTACGTAATTGTATTGATACTGAATCGTGGAATAAAATTGAAGTATTGAAAGTTCAAAGTACTACTTTGTTTGCCAATCGGCACGCGACAACACGCTGTCCCAACTATTGAAAGAATTTGTGTGGACTGACGATAAGGCGGGAATCTTAAATTTTAAATATAAATTGTAAGTTAAAAATGAACATAAAAGGCAGAGAAAACGAAAATATATATAATATACCATACAAAAACAGTTCAATGCTTAATTCCCCACCAAAGGTCAACCAACCAACTGCGTTTTGAAGGAGGGGTCACATCTGTGTCTGGTTCTGTGCCGTGTTTCTGCTTTACAATAACTGTATTGCTATCAGAAACAGCATATTGGTCAAGTAGGTCTTGTACATTGACTGTCACTGTGTCTCGCTGTCCGTCAGAAATAGTAAGTATTTATACCGTGGATCCAGAATCATAGCAAACATTCTGTTGTAACCAAGCTTATCATCATGTATTGTTCCATCAACATGGAAATCCAAACAGAGTGACACATCCTCCCTAACTAACCCTTTTAAGTCCACGATCGTGCGTCAAGAAAGTTGTCAAGAGATTATGCGCCAGGAGAAACACACTACTGGCAGTGGGATTGTCCTCTGCTGCAAGGATTTCAATTGCTTCTGCAAGTGGCTGGAACATTGGAACAATGTTTTCTATAACTTTCCAGTTAGCGTCTTTCATGTCAAGAGCGTTAACGTTACGGTCAGATCTTTTTGTGACACACTCGTAAAATTTTATGCCATATATGTAAACACACAGAAGGAGAAACCTATGCAGCATATAAAGTGAGGAGTTCCATCTCGTGGCTGTACCATGTATGATGTTGAGGGGTTTTTCAATTCCGGCCTGCTCTTTGCGTTTTTGAGAGCGGCTGTTGCAAGCACTGAATGATTGAAATGCCCTACTAGTTCGAGCTGCACCTAGATGTAACCTTTAACCCTCGTTTACCGCAAATTGGACAGTGCGGGTAAAACACCCCTGTGCTCGGAGTTTGCTTCTCGTGCGGCCTTGCCCGTGCTTGATGCGTTGTCTGTAACGATTGCTCCGATATTATGAATTCTAAACTCATTTTGTAGATCAGATAGTACTTGCAGTGACTGTCCAGTAATTTGTTTCAGAGTTCCAAATAATCGCTGAGAAAACGGTTTGACTGGTACAACCTGTGTCTTTTATTGCGAAATAGAGCCGGTGCTAGTGCCGTGATTTATTGCTTAATTGTGAGCATAGCCAAAGACCTCAAGGCCTCAATTAACACCTGTAGATCTATCAGGTTTTCCCCTCGATCTAAACTTGTACTGGTGAAAAAGACAAATCGATCTTTACGCTATACGAAACGCTGATATGATCCAGATAGTTACTAACAGTTGTCGTCTGCTTGGTAACTTACTAATTAAGCGGACGGTAAAACCAGTCATACCTCGTGCAAAACTATAGAACATGTTCACATCTTTTTTCGGTTGACTATAGAGTTGAATGAAATGTGGTTTCAAGCCTGCATAGAATCAAACACGCCCAAAGAGTAACAAACAGAAACATTTGTGAACAGCTGAATAGTCATCTTACACATTTGAACCTGCAGTAAGAGGCATTTCAAACCTGTCAGCCATTTTGTTTATCTGATCAGTTTGAAAAGTTAACATGCACATGAAGAGACCAAGAGGAACCTATATTTTTTGAGAAATATCAATGAAGTACTTTCTGAGGAATAGCCATAACACAAATTGTTTAAGGCGGACGGACAACAAACGAAGGACAATTTGGAAAGCCAACCATCAGATGATTGTAAGTTAAAATTGAAAGCAGAAAGTTCTGAGACAGGTTGGGGGACAGTTAAAGAAAACATAGCTAACCCGCTTGATAGTGATTCCGACAACGACAAGAAAATTTCGCGCGATGAAAATAAGGCTGTGAAAAGGTTAAAAGATCAGCAGAAAAAGAAACAAGACGTTTTTCTCAACAGACAGAAATCAAGGTATGGGTAGGAGCTCCGCGTCAGGTTTTTAATCCTATGCGGCATTCTGATGGGAATCAGCTTTTTCGTGGCCAATGAGGAAACCAGGGAGCCTGTTTCTCGTGTGGAGATTTCCGACACTCACTTCCGGAAGGATTGTCCAATCGTCAATAAGTCAACTGGGCAGTCCAGGACAGGGACATAGGGACATAGGGACAGATTAAAGAGGCACAAGTCATCAAAGATAAGTATACGAATATAACAGAGTTCCCAAGTAATGACTGTACAGGAGCCTGTGATTTCACTAAATACTTTTTCGAATATGAACAAGGACAGGCTGACATTTTAGTAAAAAGTACATTGAAAAATGATACTGAATTTTGGAAGAATATTGGATGTTCTGAATTTGCGATAGATGTGATTGATAACGGTTACAAAAAAACCCATTTTACTCAGAACCAAACAAAAGAGAATGTAAAAATAATGTGTCGGCAGTGAAAAATGCCGAGTTTGTGGAGAAGGCAATTTTCGATTTAGAAAAAGCGTTAATTGATAGAGAGGTGTGAAGAATCTCCATATATGACGAATCCATTGACCGTATCAGTTCAGAGTAATGGTAAGAAACGTCTGATTTAAGGGAGGTCAATAAACATTTATGGGAACAATCCGTGAAATATGACGATTATTGTATATAAAGACACAGGGATGGTTAATAAAGTTTGATATACATTCGGCGTATCATCACATAGATATGTATCCACCTCATACCAGATTTCTTGGTTTTTCGTAAAATTTTGGTTCCAAGAAAGTATACTTTGGGGTCCTTTTTAGTGTTACCCTTTGGTCTGTCTACGGCTCCGTATATTTTTACTTAAGTCACCAGATCGCTTATTAAAAAGTGGAGAGGTGAGGGTTTACAAACTTTGATGTATTTGGATGACGTGTTGTGTCATAAGACTGACAAATTGAAGTAAGTAGAACAGAGGGCAAGTGTTCAAAGTGGCATTATAGAGTCAGGTTTTGTCCCCAAAGCAGACAAATCTTTATGAGATCCTGTACAATTGATGACTTTTCTCGGTGTAGATATTGATACCTTATTAGGAGTTTTGCGTTCACCGGAGAGTCGGATTGAGAAAGCACATGTGTGTGTTATGGATGTGTTGAACGTTGTTTACAGTGGCAGTTCAGTTCATGTCAAAGCATTAGCAAGGTTTGTAGGTCAAATTATGTCCATGAGTATAGTATTGAGCAATATTACTAAGCTGATGACCAAATGTATCAGTAAGTGTACTTTACAAGCCCAGTCGTGGAATGATGGCGCTTTTGTGGACGATAATTGTGTAGCTCAGATGCAATTTTGGGTGAATCACATCAATTGCACCAATTCTAGAGAAATTCAGTATTCCCCACAGTGCAATAAAATAGTTTATTCTGATGCTAGTACCACAGGGTACGGTGGCTATTGCATAGAGTCATCGGTAGGCGTGGCACATGGTGTGTGGACCCAGAACGAGGCAGGTCAAAGTTCGACCTATATAGAATTGACAGCT